ATTAATATCAGAGTTTAATTATAAGAGGTGGGCCAAGGCCATTACAAAATGTTTCTATTCTACTGGAGTGGCGTCTTCAGCCCCAGCCTCAGGCTCGACCTCTTGGAGGGCTTCAGCAGCTTCCTCGACGGCCCTGTAGGGTCGACCTCAGGTAGGCCCACCGAACTCTGCTTCCAAGGATGTCAGATTCAGAGTTGGGTGGACTTCCCTTAGGTGATCCAACATTGTTTGGACATTCCACGAGGCCCAGAAGTTGGCGAAGTCGTCATACAGTGGATGTTCTTCGAAGTGATCAATAAAATTCTGCACTGGTGACTCCTTTGCTGCCTTCACCTCGGCCTTCAGAGACTCGATCTCCTCAGCCTGCGCTCCGCCCATTGCCTCAGCTCAGCTTTCTCCTTGTTGGAGGCCTCCAGAGCCTCAGTGGCCAGTCGGTGGTGCTCGTTGGCATGGTCAAGCTTCCTCGTCATAGCAGCCACCTAGCACTTCACTCATACAACTCTTTCTTCAGCCTTTCCATCTCCTCATTGGCCCTTACTAGTCGGCCCTCCGCCTCCTGCCTCACCTTCTCTACCTTAGATGCCTTTTCTCGGGCCGCTGCACTGCATCCCCGTAGTGCATTGCCTCCTCCAGACGCTTGGCCAGATTCTCCCTCTTCACATTGAGGTACTTAACCAAGCCCTGAAGTTGAACACTTGTACTCAAGGCCCGGGCAACGCAAGTACTGTTCGTAGCTACCAGATCTTCGACAGTGTAGAAGGCTGTATGCTCTTTCCACTCCTCGGTCCAATATTTGCTATGGACCAGGGCAACATCCGCCGTCTCTGGAGGCAAGGCCTCCAACACCTCCCTCACCGGCTCTTCTTTATTGATGCCTAGGAAGTTCACCTCCTTCTCCGGGTGAGCCCTTTTCCTCCTCTGCTGTCCCGACACTTGTATAACTGGAATGACAGCAACTGGGGGTAGATCGGGGCCACAGCAGTGGCAACAGGGGCCGCCGTCCTCTCCCTTATGGCCATCTAGTGGGAATTATTGTTTGACGGAGGACCGGGGCAGCCCTCGCCACTATAGGCCCCTTTGATGAACTGGCAGCCCTCTTCCCCTTGCTTTGGACAACTGCCTCTGGATCCTCTTCCTCCTCCTCCTCCTCTATCGTGGGTTGGAGCTGTTTACTCGCAGCCACTATGTCCTCCATTTGCTTTTTATAGGCAGAGGAGGAGGTCTTCAACGCCCTTGCCTCGACCATCATCCGTTGGATTGTTTTAAAGTCGGGCTTCACCGGCCTCTTCTTGTTAAAATCATCTACGGCAAAACAAAATGGGTTAGCATGTGCAAGGAGGTCAGAAATTCTTTACAATTGGAACACTCCAGATAATTACGTTGGAAGGCCATCAGCTCATGCGTAACGAAGTGGATGTTTTTCCTGATAAGCTCGTTATAGGACCTCTTCTTCAGCGGAAGCTGATAAACGATACAGATTATATCAAACTCCTCGGTAGAAAGCTCGTACCGAGGAAGAGTATCTGCAAGAATAACAAATAGTTAACTTCCGAACTAATGCGAAACACAAAAAATCACAAGGCTCCAGTACTCACTAAGTGTTGAATACTTTATGGGGACCGTAAGAGGCGTCAGGAGGTCCCCCTCCATTGTGTCCCATCTCCCAGGGGCCCAGCACCATGAGCTCTTCCATTCCTTGATGGAGCTCAGTAAATCGAGCACAAATAGAGTGTGGGAACCCCATGAAGTTAGGTAGTATCACCCCGTGGTCCTATCACCCCCCGTCGCTACCTTAGTGATGTATAAGGTCTGAAACGCTGAGAACGGCATCTCTACCCCAAACGATGCCTCCTTCCATAACATCCATGACCCCACCATTTGACTCCAAGAGTTGGGGTTCAGTTGGGTCGGGGCCAGGCAATAGGTCCTCAAAACATAGCGAAAGAAGGGATGGATAGGCAACCTAAGACCATCCCTAAATAACGCTTCGCTCACAGCTACGTAGCCCAGCCTAGGGTAACAGGTTCGCTCATCAGGCTCTGGCAAAATTAGGTCCACACTGTCCTGGATCCTATACTCCTTCCTAAGTCTATCAAGGTCGACAAGCTTAAGTTTGGAAGGATAATCAGACGCCCCCCAATGTATGGAAATGTCTATGGGCTATTAGGTCGCCTCTAAATGTTCCCCCCTAATATCGCCTTGGACAATTTCGAGGAGGTCGCCAATATTGGCTGGTCAACCCTTATTATCTCCAACTCACTCCCTGAAGCGTTACTATCAGAAGCCATCTTCAGAATTCAAAAAATGCGAAGAACTAGAAAAATACTTATTGAAACGAATGGATTGGGGTTTTCTACAGTTGGAAAATAAGAAATGGCCCTCTGCACTCGTTGGAAACTGAGAATGCCGTCGGAAAACATTTGAAAGTCTCCGAAAATCGTAGAGAATTATGAGAGCGTCGAGGGGTTGATTTTGCAAAAGTGAAAACCTCTAACAACGCTCAAGTCCTCCTTTTATAGGAAACTTTAGACGATCCCCACCGTTGAATTCAAACGATGTCAATCTGGGCCATTCATTTCATCAAAAATCTGGATCATTGAAATGAAATGCCAAATTTAATTAACATCCAAGACCCGACTGTGCCCATCACGCACGCATAAAGCGCGTCACCTCGAACAACAACAGCCGTCAGCAATAAGTGGTCGTAGCAGCCCTTTTTCTGGGAACAAGCAGCACATCTAATTGTCGCCTTGGAAACACGTGACAGTTATCATATAGATTAACGTCATAATAAGACGCTTCAGATCAAGGACAGTCAACTTTATAGGCTTCGACACACCTGACGCGGAGATTCCTGTGGGTCATCGTTTCGGATGGTGCGTTTTCTCCTAAGCTTTACAAGGCTTTAGCCATCTCCCAATGCGTCGTCCCTTGTGGGTTAGCGCCCCAGTAGCAAATGGGCTCTTCACCCAACTTTAAAAGTTTCGACGCCACTGATGCGGAGTCCCTGTGGGTCCCCACCTCGATCGTACAACCCTTCAGCTTTACAAGACTTTAGCCATTTCCCAACGCGTCGTCCCCTGTGGGTCAGCGCACAGGTAACAGATGAGCTCTTTACCCAGCTTCAAAAGTTTCGGTGCCACTGATGCGAAGTCCCCTATGCCGCCTTCACCTCGGTTGCATGACCCCTCAGCTTTATAAGTCATTAGCCATCTCCCAACGTGTCGTCCCCTATGAGTCAGCGCAACGGTGGTAGATGAGCTCTTCACCCTGCTTTACAAGCTTCGGCGCAACCAAGAGAACGCCCTACCCACATCGCATCGGTCATCACTTCGCCTCAGCCAACAGCTATTCGGCACGTCTGCTTACTCCATCCTTTCACATCAGCACTTCATCTGAATCCACAATACTTATTCCAAGGTCGACATAGACAATCGGGAAAGCAAGTCCACCCATGATATAAATATTCATGCATGAACTTAGAAGACCACTGTTATACCTAAAACTAAACCACTTCGGAACAACAGTCACACCACTCCCACATGTCTATCTCCTATTTGAACCATTTCGGAACAAACAGTCAAGCCACTTCCTGAAATTCCACATGTTCGCCCGAAGTGGTGCCCGCTCGTGACGACCTCAACATGGCGCGCTGCAAGTGAAGAGTAGATCTACTGAAGAAACTGAAGTGTCTCTCAACTCCAAAGCGTTGAGCACTCCGAGACACTCCCTTGACAGCTCCCTCCGCCTCCACTGTCACAAAGATATCTGTTATGATCCTCTCTACCTTCAAAGATCAATTGATGTGACGTCTTCATAGGTCTAGTTGATGTGACTTATCAACTTTATGTCAACTCAATTTACAAGAACTAATTACCCGCTCACTCTAGACGTGACTGATTGACGCCTATGAGTGGATGCCTCACATCGTCAGATGCACACATGTGTCCCACATCCAGCGGTGCTCTACCCCTATAAATACCCAAGATTTGGCAAGAGACAAATGTAATGAAACTCATTACTTAGCTCTCCATACTAAGTAATATATATTATCCTCCCTACTTTCTTGCATAACTTGAGTACTGTTCCGATCGCCCAACGCTAACTTGACCGTCAGAGTGTATGCGGCCGCTGCCACCACCGCTGGTTCCGTCCGTGTACTTCTAACCGTACGTTGTTTTACGCAGGAAGGATTACGTGGAGTAGCTATCCGTTGGTCACGTGGAGAGTCCAATTCTCGAGGTCAACAATTATTATATTGAATAATATATAATTGAAAAAATAGAGAGAAAAATATATTTTAGAAATAATGAAGGTCAAACAAGGGTCAAATAGATAATGTAGATTATCAAGTCTCCTTCAAGGCAACATTAGTCTGTAATCCATGCTCAAATCACACAGTTAAAAATCTCAGATTAATGTAAACATAATTTGTTGAAATAGTTATGATAGATTATCTAATTTCATTCAAGATTATAACAATTTATTTAATCCATAGTCAAAACATAATTAAAAATCTCAAGTATATGTAGATATAATTTCATCAAATAGTTATAGTAGATTATCTAATTTCATTCAAGACAACAACAATCCATGTAATCCATGCTTGAATAATATATAATTAAAGATCTCCTATAGATTTCGACATAATTTAACCAAATTCCCTTTTAGGATTACGACAATCGAAGTAATTCATGCTCGAATACACACATAATTAAAGATTTTCAATATTCGTGGGCATAATATGATATACTAGATAGTGCAAATTTTCAAATCTTATACAGGATAATCTAAATACTGATTTAAGATCACCAAAATTTAAGTCAAATATATGAGCGTAACAGCAATCAATGAGAAACTATTTAAAGACATCAATTTTAAGTCTTAGTATTTCATACATTTAAAAGAGAAAAAGAAAAACCTTTTTTCATTTTAGTATTAACAAAAAGAATCCTTTGAAAATGTTGGAAAAGAAAAGCATTGCCATTTGTGGTATTACAATGGTGTTGGGTATGTTGGTCCTGAACAACACGGCTAATGCAGCAACCTATAAAGTTGGGGACGCTACAGGTTGGACCTTCAATGTAGCTGGCTGGGAAAATGGCAAGAATTTCAAAGCAGACGATGTACTTGGTATAAACTTATTTTAAATTTGGTATTATACTTTCATAATTTTGTATCCATATATCGGTCGCAAATGGGTCAAGGCACGTTTGCTGGTTCGGTTCATCCTCGCTTGATTCATAGGCAATTCAATCTCGTTTTGAGATGAGCCATGGATTGAGCCAATCTCATATATACATATATTCTTTTTTCATGAGCCGGCTTATTGGAGCTCGTGAGTACAAGCCCAAGAGCCGATTAATTTTCCCTCAGTTTTGGACTTGTTTTATTAATTTCTTAAAAAATTGTTCATTTTTCTTTTACCATTTTGTTACTTAAAAAAATAGAAAAAAAGAGTGAGCTCATGAGTGGCCTAGCTCGACCATGAGGCCCACGATACAAAGGACTGAGGGGATCCTAGGATTTGGACACAGGTCTAGCTCGAGTGTCTACGCCTTGATTTGGTCATTTTTTTAAATCGAAAATGGCCTATGAAAGATCGACTAACATTTGCGAGTGTTTGAATATGTATGCAGTGTTTAATTATAAACCGGAATATCACAATGTAGTGGTGGTAGACGAGAATGGATATTGCAATTGCACCGCTCCTTTCGGCGCCAAAGTGTACCACAGTGGAGAAGATCATATTAAGCTTGTCAAGGGACAAAATTACTTCATTTGCAGTTTTCCCGGACATTGCAATAAGGGATTGAGGATAGCCATTGATGCGGCTTAGATATTATTAGAGCCTGTAATGTTTGTACTGCTTTCAAATAAAATATCAATTAGTTATCTCTGTTAATTTTAATTTTTCGACTCAGCTCCTTAATCAAAAAAAGAGTGATGGAGGCTCTGACTGACCCCTCACATTAAGGGGTGGGGCCACTTTTTCCTCTCAATTGTTTAATCATGTGGCGCCAACGTTGTGAGAGGAGGTCAAAACCTCTGTCATCCATTTTTCTGACAGAAAGACTTTTTTCTTAATTTTTCAAAGAAGTTGTTAGACACCAAAATTGTCAAATGTCAAAATTAAAATGTACAATATTGAAGATGAATTCGTCATACACGCAAAAGGGGCGTGGAAGAAAAAATTGAAATAATTTAAGTTTACTTTAATTTTCTCAACAATTACTATCAACTTTGCACTTATCAGGATAAACAACTTTATTCAATACAGAAGCAAAATCAAGCGAAACGTTAAACATATAATTTCACCAAAATTACTGTATAACTATAATAGTTTAATTTTTTTCAAGGAAGAACTGATAAAAAATTTGGAAAAAAAAAAAAAAATCGGCTGATTTTTTTAAATATTCCAATTGACAAACCTTCATACATTTCGGAATTTCAAAAATTACCAAAACCTTATAAAGAAGCTTGACACATTCAAACATATGTACGACTCCAAGAAAATAACAACAAAATCTATTTTTCAATGAATTATCATACTGGTTAAAGTCAAACAAGACTAAATGAATATCTTATACGAAGATGGTATTTCTTGGAGGCTATAACAAGTTAATTAGAAACATACTTAACAAGAATTGTGATATTGAAGACATTAATATACAAAACATGGATGTCTCGATACAATAATTTTCATTTATTGAAATTTGGTGGAGTAATTATACTCTTTTTTCTTGGCTCAAGTTTGGTTCCATTGAATTTTCTTAATAAATTTTACCGAGACATATTTTGTAACGTGTTATACCATGAGAAATTGTAAATTATATGTTTATTGTTTAATGACCATTATAATTATATAGCCCTAGTTATTATGTTTATCGTATTCATTACAGCCCCAATATTATCTATACATACGAGGCTTTAGTTTTCAGTAAAATACTTAAAGGTCTTTTGACTTCTCCATTTCTTCACATTTTCTCTCAATTTTATCGTATTTTCTATTTTTGTAATTGCAATTTCTCCCAGAATCCACTATTAAAAAACTTTTTTTTTTTTTTGGTTAAAAAAAGGGAGCTCAAACAAGACTAGCTTTATACAAATCTAGCATTTCCCCCCAAACTTGAGCGCATTTTCCCTGTAATTCAATCGGGGAATATTTTTTCTCTCAAAATTGTATCAATAATTCTACTTGTACAAAGTTTCCTTACAAAGTTGGTTAACAAAAGATGTGTTGGCAAAATCCAGATTATTGATTTCAAATAATTAAAAATTTGTTTTTGAAATGATTGGCGTGAATGTTATTTTGTTAACATAATTTGTAAACCATGTTTGTAACTGTAGCACAACTTAAATTGTTTACATACGAAATCTTTTTTTTTTTAACGATTTTTAACATCAATTTTATTTTTTTAAGGTTTAGCCCAAAATAATAAATTCGAACCAGATTAACGGTCCAACGGTTTAATAGGCGCGTGGTAATATATTCCTCATGCCGAGATCATCCCTGTCGGTTGCTTGATTTCCAGTTTAGTGTCTGTCACTCACTCTTTCCTCCACCAAATTCTCCGATCTACCTCTTTCTCTCTCTAGAAATTAGGGATTTCCTGTTTGTCTCGCGTCCCCATGGGTTTCGCGAGCAGCACTTTTAATCAATGCGCCATTTTAATCTCACTATTTTCTGTAGTATTATTAATATCAGCTCTTAGATCAGCCGAAGCCTCAATTCACATCTACGATCGAGATCCAGTCAGAGAAGTCGGCACTGCTTATTTGGTCTCCGGCGGAAGTGAAGGCGTCGCCGCTCCCCGCAGCCATGCCGGTCGCTCTTACATTCGGTAATTATTGATTTCTATCGCGTGCATGTATGAATTAGCAATAATATTTAATCAGATCTAGCCTCGTACATGTCTGCATTATTCGAATTTGACGATCTTTATATTTGGTTGTTGGGGAAATTGAGGAGGGGAAAACGAAATGTTTTTTTTATTTTTCTCTTTCCCTTAATCGCACGCTTTGTTGTCATTACTGAGGTTTCGGAATTGAGGAAGCTAAACTGACATGGGCTGGTCAGTGATAGTGAGCTAAAGTTGAATCTGGCTGTCGGTGGCTGTCTGAGATGAATTGGTGCTTAATAAATGGTTCGTGCGTGAATTTTCCATTTCATCAAGCATTGGTATTAGTTTTTGGAGGAAGGTTGAATTATTGGGGTTTATAATTGTTATACAAGGGTCATGTGTTGTTAAAGCATAGGGTTCCTTTTTTTTTTTTTTTGATTAAATCAAATATTAGGAGTTTGGATTGGTTTGCCTCCTCAGGTTGAATCCATTCCAATTGGATTACATTTTTTATTTTTCTTAAATGCGCAGCTTCTTTATAGGAAGCTCACAAGTACTTATTTTTCTGACTAGCAACCAGTATCCAACAAGTATACTAAAACTGAGCAATATCTTCTTTTCTCTCTTTAGTTCATGATAGGAAAATGAAAGCACTGCAATTATGATTTATTTTCAATTCAATATGACATCAATATCTTGTTAGTTACATTTAGCGAAATGTTCAAATTAATCTAGATTTGAAAACATCACATTTTGGAGGAGCAAAGAAGCTGCTGATCAGCACCCAAATATGGCGTACAGCAGTGGGTTGGTTCAAGTTATAATATTTGAGGCTGCTGACCACGATAATATTGGCGGATCTGCCTATGGTGGACAGAGGTCTATTTGTTGCACCTCTGATCTTGCCAAGCTGGAAGGTTGCAAACAAGGAGAAGTCATCAGAACATCTTCGCCAACTGATAATAACTGGCCAGTTGTTGTGAATGTTCATTTTAGAGGTAACATGTTATCCACCCATATGAAAAAGAATAAGGAAGTTAACATTAAAAGGACTGGGATGTACAACTTATTCTTTATCACATGTGATCAGAAACTCAAGGGCATGAGGGTGATGGGGAGGACAGTGTGGAAAAATCCTGATGGCTATTTACCTGGTAGAATGGCCCCCCTGATGAAATTTTATATATTTATGTCCATCGGGTATGCTATCCTCAGCCTCATCTGGTTCTTTCAATATGGGAGACATTGGAATGATGTTTTACTACTACAGCACTGCATTACTTCCGTTATTGCTCTTGGGTTGTTGGAGATGACTTTCTGGTACCTTGACTATACATACTTTAACAAAACCGGAACAAGGCCAGTGGGAATCACCACCTGGGTTGTGACAATTGGAGCTATAAGAAGAACTGTTTTTCGCCTTCTTATTCTTTCTGTTGCAATGGGCTATGGTGTTGTCCGTCCAACCCTTGGTGGTCTTACAACAAAGGTGCTGCTTCTTGGAATAACTTATTTTGTAGCATCAGAACTGCTTAACATCACCGAGCATGTGGGAACCATAAATGACATGGCAGGGCGAGCAAGAGTGTTTCTGGTCCTTCCCGTTGCATTTTTGGATGCCTTTTTGATCTCATGGATTTTCACTTCTCTTTCGAAGACACTAGAGCAACTACAGGTACCATACATCCCATTTTCTATTTGAACTTCTATTTACCTTCACTCTGATATGTAGCAATGAATTCTCAATCCTTCTCTGATTAATCCAGTACTCAGCATTGCATGTTCTGACAACAATTTTTTTTTCTTTTTCAGGCTAAAAGGAGTTCTATTAAATTGGATATTTACAGAAAATTTTCAAATGCATTAGCAGTTACAGTTGTTGCATCGGTTGTGTGGATAGGATATGAGGTATATACTCTATGGAAGAAACATATTTCGAGTTTATATTTTCTTTTGGGTACATTATTCAATATCTTCTGGGCTTCTTTAGTGTGATCAGTATCTGCACGATTATAACTACAGCATAGAGTTTGTCTTGGGAATTAAAAATGAAAAGAACCTTATCTGCCTAAGAGGTTCTGTAGTTTTATGCAGGAAATGTGTGTTTTCTGTTTTTGCAGTAAAGCTATCTAATAAAGGGGGGAAATTATAGATGGACACATTCTTTTTAAAACTCCCCTTTCTTATTTCTTCTCTATTTAAAAGTTAGGATCTAGACCTCAAATTCATCTGAAATGTTAGTGCTTTACATCATTTAAAAGAGTAAACTATTACTGTCGCGAAAATATTGTGTCTTTCGAAGCTATGTACTGATAATAATATGTGCTAGAAAGGCACCGATAGCACATATCGGTTGGGTAGTGCAATTATTGGTAGCATTGTATTTCAGTATTCCAAGAAATAATGGGTTTTTTTGGTTGTCCAATTAACACCCTTCCTGTTTCTGGGTGCCTAGGTACCCTTCATAAGCCTTTCCTTGTTTGGACTCCTTGCCCTTATAAAGCCACATCACCCTAAGGCATTGCTAAATGGATGGATCTCCTCAACATTATGAGGCAAATAATTAAGTTTTGTGAAATCAAGCAAATGGAAATATATAGTGACAGATCCACCATTTTACCATGCAAGTTCAAGAACTGCTATGTTCTCACCCATTAATTTCTTGCTAGTTTTAAGAAATTATTTTTGGTGTAACCTTCAGTCCCGTACCGGATTTTATATCAAAGAAAAAGTAGTTGAACGAGAGCTAATGCACCCTATTATGAGTTTTTGTTTCTCAATTAATGGTAAGTTATGGGAATATAGGTAGCTCTTTCTAATTTTGGAGCTCCTAGGAGAAACAACGGGGAAAAGAAAAGAAAGAGAAACTGAATGTCCTCGTTTTCTTAGTATAAAGCTCACTCTCGTCAGTACCTTTTGTTCTCTGTCTTTCTTTGTGTTAGGCATAGTCGTGTCATAAAAGGTCACAGAGATTGCGTTTTTCAAGTTGAATATAAAAAGTCGTTTCCTTGCATCTCTATCTTGTTTGTCAATTGACTCATGCCATGTCTAGATAGAAATTCCCAATTTCATAATCAGAGAGATATTATTTTCCTGAACTTCATGAAACTCCTGTACAATCATTATGAACAAGAAACCATTAATTGGTGACTTTTATTATTGCAGCTTTACTTTAAAGCAACAGATCCATTCAATGAGAGGTGGCAGAGTGCCTGGATTATCACTGCTTTCTGGGACATTCTTGCATTTGCCTTGCTCTGTGTTATCTGTTATCTCTGGGCTCCATCACAAAGCTCCCAGCGGTAGGTTTACAATAACACTCTCTCTGAATTTTTTATTTTTCCCTTTTTTTTTCTGTGGAACAATTTTTGCTCAATTTTACAATAACTCCTGCCAGTTATGCATATTCTGACGGCAAGGGAGACGAGATCGATGATGAAGAAACCGAATCCTTATGTAGAGAAACTCCGAAAGGTATCTGTTTAGTAAAGCAAGACAGGAAGGATGACAGCGAGACATCTGATCCTGAAGAAGAAACCGAAGAGGGTAAAAGGGAATGACTCTCAGATAATTCTTTCAAATCATCTCATGCAGAGGTCTAAACACAGAGATATCATTGGCAACAAGAAAGGGAAAAACAATCTGCAGACACTGTCAAGTTTTAAAGTGTAGGTAAAAGGGTGAAAGCAAATGGTTTCTAGTTTTGTACAAAATTCCTTGTTTACTCTTGTATGATTCCTCTGTTGCTGAGGTCTATGTGAATGCGATTGTAACAATATCATTTCTTGGTTACTGGATTCTGATATATCTTGACAATTGCAATCAAATGAGCCCCTTTTCTTTCTTTCTTTTTTTATTTTTTAGGTTAAGAAGTGAGTCAATTGCGTATTTTGTGACAATGACCAAAATATTGAATGGGATTCGTCTAAAAAATTTCAACTAATCACAGAAATTAAGCTATGTATAGTGTATGCAAAAATTAAATTTTTAGTAGAGTTTGATAAACAAATTATGAAATGTATGTCTGAAAACAAGTTTAAGGATTTTTTTTTTTTAATGTTTAAAAGTTGTTTTTTAGCCCCATTTTTTGGAAGAATATATTTCATAATAGTAATTTTTGAAAAATGTGATTCGAAACGCATAAAATTATTTAATTGAAAGAATGTGTTGTAAAAAAATCAGTTTAGAAAAATATAAAATTTTAAACGGTGAAGCTCTAACGAGGGCTTATTATAAACACTTGTAAGTACACCCAAACACGACGCATTAGACAAGTTAATTCGGCCCAAACTCTCAGCTCCCGCACCGCAGCCAACCGATCATATAACGTTGCTAGCAAAGTGCAAACTAGTAAGTACTAACTCGCTAATCCATCCTCCATAAAAAACCGTTGTCCTTCCAAATTAACATTAATTACTAATCCAATACTAAACTCTCCTGCATCAAGATTTTGGGGACACATTCAATACTAATATACCAAGGGCGATGAGCAGAAATGGAGGAGAAGAGGAAGTGAGGCAATTGGCAGCTGAACTTGGCAAAACCCTAAAAGAAGGGGAAAGAATCCTTGCCCCAACCCGACGCCCCGACGGTTCCTTCCGCAAGGCCATTCGAATTCGAGCGGGTTATACGCCTCAAGATGAAGTCGCCATTTATCAATCCAAAGGCGCTCTTGTAAGTTATGGCAATTACCGATAGATAGTGATGTGTGTGTGTGTAAATTTGTGGTTTGGGTTGTTGTGTTTATTGATTGATGGGAGTGGAGTGGTGACAGTGGAAGAAAGAAATCGAGTCCACGCAGGAGGTGCCTCCCGGGTATGATCCGGCGGCGTTGGAAGCCAAACCTAAGTCCAAATCGGCTAAAAGGAATGAGAGAAAGAAAGAAAAACGTCAACAGGTAATTAATTTAATATATATATTTTTTTATTTTTATTTTCATTTTCTCTATCTCAAATTTTCTGTTGAATGATATTTTTAGTAGGTTACTTGTTTTTCTGGAGTGTCAATTAGTACTATCATATAGTATTCTATAAAGAATGGATCTTTTTAATCCACTTAATTTAGATGACATGAATAATTGGAAGTACATGGATAAGTACTGTATAAATTAAACCAATGTTGACCACGTACTTGTTGAACTGCTGGTGCAACTTTATGCCAACGGAACAATAGAGATGAGATTTGAGAAATTTCTAACAGTTAGTGGCTTGAGAGAATCAAGAAATAAAACATCTTTAATATTGTTATGTTTTATTTGGACAATGGATCCGAGTATGCACTGTTGATTCCGAATTTTTAGTTTCAAATCCATTTCTTAACCTGTGATTGGTTAATGATATGATCTGGCAAAGGATTTTTGAATTAATAGATTTCGGATGAGGTGTGTCTACACTGATGAATCTGTGTGGTTGCTTGATTTAAATCCACCAATTTGAAGTCCACTCATCGAATGTATATGAAAACCCATCTGTTCAATAACAAAACGAAGCCATGAAAGTCATGAACTTATCTTGTCTAATTTTATGTTGTTTTGAATCTTGTTCTGTNCCATCTGTTCAATAACAAAACGAAGCCATGAAAGTCATGAACTTATCTTGTCTAATTTTATGTTGTTTTGAATCTTGTTCTGTTGTTAGATACTAGCTTTCTAATGGTTTGGAGGGGTGTCACATAAATAAATGGTAGTTTGGTCTTCTGATTATTAAGGCTAAAACAGTATACACATAGATGCTTATTTTGAGGGGTTGTGATTTGTCCATTACTTGCTGTGGAAATTAATCGAGGTTATTTGAATCTTTTGTCCCCCAAATATTTTCATTCACTAAGACAAAATTAATGTTTGCTTAATGGCTCTTCATTTACTGATGCGTTCTGTGCTTGGATGTACCAATGCAACAACATTTTATTAGGTTTCAGTCCCTTAACTTTGTTGCACTATTTTTCAATAAAGCAATTTTTAGTCCATCATAATAGACTAATAAATGTTGTGATTCAGTTGAAGGTAAGTAGAATGCAAGGGAAAAGGAAAGCAAAATCAAAGAAACTTAAAATCTCAGGTTTGTTTGGCTACCCAAGATAAACATTAAGAAAATAATTTCCAAAAATCCACTTTGTTTTCTCTACTGCTAGAGAGTAGAGAAACAAATGAAAATGATAACATAGAATGTTTCTGGTGATATGGCAAATTTTTGTGTTTCATAATTAAATTCTTAAAATTTTATTAATAGAATATAACTTGAATGACAACCTAAGATCTTCAAAACAAGCAAGTTACTCTATGGCAATGAACTCCAATTGTTCTAGAAAATATAATTGGTCTCAAAGTGCTTTCTAAAAGACTAGGAGACAATTTTATCTCTCAAACGTATTTTTGCAAACATCAATATGAGATATAACATATATAATCCTCATGGATTCATATAAATATTCTCAAATGCGTAGAGATAAGAAATCAAATTGAAGTTTAATGGGATAACATGTACTACCCTGGTCTAAGTACTGTTTTGAAACACCATGGGGGCGTTTGTTTCCCATTTTTGTAAAAATGAGAATAAAAAATATAGCCGTTATAAGACCCACACAAGAGATAGAAATTCAAATTTGGTGGCTTGATGTAATAGATATCGGTCATATTTTTCATTTTAATGAGGAAAGAATAAAAAACAAACAGAGGTCATGTTGAATCTTCTTTCATGGACAGTCAATCTGTGATTGGCAGAAGATCAAGTAGCCAATTGCAGCAATTACAAACCTTCTCAGCTCAGAAGATTTATGTTTATCCAGCCCAATTCCCATGTCAAAGATATATGCAACTGTGAAATAATCAGTCAGTTTTACATTGGAAGGCAAATTAGATCGAAATTTGGCCTTGAGACAAACTGACAGATACTTAAATTATATTATCGTCATTTTCATGGTATTTATATCTATACTCCACATCGATCTTTGTTATCTGTGTTCCAGAAAGAGCCTGAGAGACTCCACTACTATGACCTGAATGTGGGGCACCTCATGCTGGATTTGTGATGCTGATAAAATCATCTTCTAAGTAGGTACATCTCTAAGTAGATTTGGGTAAACATGATTTGTGGCAGGCTGCACTTGACAAGGGTAAAGAATTGGAGAACAGTGATATGTTTCCTGCTGAAGATTCAAACGATGTGCCAGAGAATGAGGAATCAGTTGCATCCAAGATGAATGAACTCTCACTTAGTGCAAGTACCCCTATAGTCATACCACCTTCAAATTCAACGGTGTGTTCTACTCCAGAGGACCAGGTTCAAGATATTGATAAAAAAATTCGAGCTCTGAAAAAGAAGGTAATATATGTGCACGACTATTAGAATGTTAAAAGACCTCATTCAGCCGCATTATTTTGTCTGACAGATGTACCTTGAATTCTGATCTTATTTTTCTAGAACATGTAGCTGTAGAACACATCTCCAAATTAAGCCCCTGTTTGGTTTGGCTAAAAATCATATTTTTAGTGGATTTTGATAAAAAAAAATTATGAAATGTATGGTTGAAAAGTTGATAAAAGTCGTAGATCTCATAAAATGTGTGATTGAAAATAAGTTTTAAAAAATTGGGACCCAACAGGGGCTAAATCACAATATTTTGCATCGGCAAACTGGTTTTAGCATTATTAAATTTGACCTGATTATTGTGGCTCACAATTGGATGCAAACACATTATATGAATTTTTGCTTCCTGGCATCAACACTTGAATTTGGAGTCTCTCAAACTCTGATTTTCAAATCCTGCATTTTTTATAATAGATTCGGCTTACTGAAGCTCAGCAACAGAAAACTGTGGAGAAAGATATGAAACCGGAACAGTTGGAGAAGGTAGCCAAATTAGAAGGTTGGCGCAATGAGTTGAAGCTTTTAGAAGACGAGAAAGCTAAATTGACAGCATCACTTTCATGAAGGTGGGCACATGGTAGGATGAACGATGTGCAGTTCTTGTTTATGGTTTGATTTATTGAATGGATGACATGAATTGATAGAGCAATCTAGGTTTTGCATTGTGCAAGGAGCCTTGCTAGTAAAAATAGTAGCTTGTGCCACTCCTCTTGTTTTCTAGTTAAGACTGATTAACTAATTGAAGTACCAGAAGTGCAGACCGTTATTTCGTAGTTGGCTTGTTGAGTAATGTGGATTATGCAGCACTTGATGGTACTCTATACGAATACTGAGGAAGTAATAGAAGGTAGAGTTTTTCACGTGCATGAACACTTTGTAACAGAACACGGTAATTTGCACAAAACATGGAGAAGTTCAGAAAGCTTATTCTCAATAATCGCTTAGATGGTTGAGCCAAGAGTGACTGTGTGTAAAGATTTGAAAGAAATTCCTCGTGAAAAGGCTAAGATAATTGCAATCAAAAATATACTTGTTATGAAAATGGGGAATTTGCTTAAAATCCTAGTAAGCAATAATTTTTGGTAAAATGGTCTATGGTC